TAGAATCTTCACGAGAGATTCCTGAAAATCCACTGTTGCCATTTCCCGGCAGATACTTTCCGAACAACCTAATATCTCGCAATCTAGTGATTTTTTCTTTCCAAAAGTCAAGGTTATATCGACATATAACATTTGTCCTATTAATTGTCCTCCTATCCTATCGATGTTGTCATTTGTTTCCTAGGACTAGTGTGTTGGTAGCGTGGTATCCTCTGACTGACACGAAGCTGAATACACTTTCCATAGCTTCACCCTCCAAACACGTCGTCATTGGCCATGAGGATATTCTCGTCGAACTCTTCCGTTTCTGGAGAGGCAATGGGCCTCCTTTGTTGACTCATTTTCAGCTCATTCTCAACGTTAAGTTTGCCATCGTAACGAGGATGTATATTCTGAACAAAAACAAACTGAAAATAAAACAGATCTATAAAGGAGAATTGGTATCTAGGCTGTCCTAATTGCTTCAACGAAAACGTCAGGGTCGATGAGGCTGATAGGCTTTTCTCTCTTAGTTGGCAGATGGCTTTCTTTAGAGAAAAAAGGTCAAGTTGTGGCGAAAAGTTGGACGCATCATATAGTTGAAGGCAAAGTTAATGAAAAAAAAGACTTCTGACAAGGAGATTCCCCGCTGAAGTGAATTTGTAGGCNCCCCCCCCCCCCCGTGCCGTATGTGGCACTGTCATACCTGGAAACGGCATAGATAGGGCGTTATAAAGGCTCAAAAAGTGCACCGTGTTTATCCTCGGACGAATTTCACCGGCACTGTAGAGGCTGCACCACTCGCAAGGAAGCCAATGGGGAAATCAAACAAATTTACCCATGCTGACAGAGGAAGGTAGTTCTGTACACTTCTGGGCTAATGTGGTCAGATCTATGCGCTATTGCAACAACTGAAAACTCGTCCAAGTATCCCCTTCATATTATTTCCGTCATGGTAATCTCGTCCAACCTCTATTATCCCTCCTTTGAGGTGTGTTATTTTCTTCGGAATTGGCGAACATTCTCGCTTTCTTCATTACCGATAACCTGTTCCCACCCTACATTCCGTTTTTTCTGACTAGAAAGGAGTACTTCGAAATCACCGTGGACTATGCTTTCCCATCTCGCTTTCTGTACTTTCATTGATCCCCATCTACCTACAGATATTTTGAGATATCCCCATAAGCAGTACAGACAGTGAAAGTAAGAAAGAAAGTCCTTGAGAAGTGTCCGCTCCAACACTCCCTGAAATGAGTTACCATGAGGTGATCCAGCAAGTAGTCACCTCTTTAGGCCCGCCTGGACCATAATTGCGTGAAGTATACGATGCTTGGCTATCGATCTTTGAGCCACGTAGAACTAGACTTTCCTTGGCTTTGAATGCATCTTTGGGCTCGACCAACGGCTTCATGATCGCTGTCGCCTGAAACCTTCGTCTTTAGAAAAAGAACAACAAACGAAAGATTCAATATATAATATTATGAACCTATCGAACGCGAACCTGTGAAAGGTCGACAGCGAAGATGTCGGGCTCGGCTTTGACGAAGTTCGGAGGTGACGGGAAGCTTTGAGGTTCATAACGAATTATTGGAATAGTGATCTTCTTCAGTGGGTCCCATTTGCAAGGCAGCAATTCAGGGTGATACTTGCAAATCGACCATTTCGAGTAGTTTTCGTCGTCGACCGGAGTAGACTGTACCTTAAATAGATTTAGCCTTTTAGCACCGCGTTAGCTGCGAGGATGACTTGAGACGGCCCGGTCAGGCCAGGTCATAGAGTCCCTTTTCACTGTACTAAGCCATTTATAAACTATTTTCTGCCTCTTCTAAAGGAATTATCTGTTGCGAAAATAAGGCCATTTTGAAGGCTCAGCCATGTTCAAGTCCAAAAATCCGAGGGAAAAAGAGGCTTGGCAGGATTTCTCAAGCCATCCATACAGTGGTGTCTCGAAAAAAGCATCTGTTGCAGTGAAGTCGTGTGGAATGGAGGTTGGTGCTCTGTCTCACTCAAACTGTGAGCATCGTAATGCTCGATCATCTTCTTTGTAGCGAATATTCAGGACAGTTTTTGAAACAGACAGCATGTATTAAGTCTCTAAACTAACATAGAAGTAGTGAAGGCCGTAGGTGGTGCGACTTTGCCATGCTGAAGAAGCCGGCGAGGTCAAGTGCATTTGGGGAAGATATTTCGAAACTCTTCTGAGCGAAGGGTTGCCAACTATAAAGGAGCCCAAATCCTGTAACACTATAGTTACTAAAGGAAGAATCGCAGGTGCATGGAGGAGCAGCACTATCGTTCCCATCTTCAAGTAAGAGGTAGTCGATTGTTTCATGTATCGTGGGATTAGATTGATTATGCATACCACGAAATTGTTTGAGCTAGTCAAATCAAGATCGAGAGAATGCGTGCTTATTTCTTAAAAATAACTAAGCTATCTTACAACGAATGCCATCCGCAGCTACACAGGTATAGTGGAGCCCAGACCCTATTACGTAGCTCTTCTTGATCTAGAGAGAGCTACAGACCGCCTACCGCGACCAATTGCTTGGAAAGCACCTCGAAATCGAAATGCTCCAGGAAAAGTAGTCTCCCTAACCACGGATGTACGAGGGGTCCAAGACTCCCGCACAACTCACGACATCCGAAGAGCAGTAAATTCTCTGGTGGGGTTCATCAGGGAACAGCTCTCAGTCTCTTTCTAGCTACCTGGATGTCATCAAAGAAAAGCTCATTCCGGGACATTTGAAGACCGTACGACCATACCATACGCTCTGGTAGTAGAGAGCGGGAAAGATCCATACGCTTCAGAAATGGCAGAGCCTACAGAGATTGGATGCCGCCTAAATGTGAAGAAATGAAGGTTCCTCAGCTGAAAGAGCCCGTGAGACCCATCGCAGACAGCTAGTTGAAGTCGTCGAAAGAGTCAAAGTCATAAACGCGGCACGGGTGAAATGGTGTGGATCAATCGGCACCCTCTGTTAGCGACGTTACTTCAGGAAGCTCCAAGGAAAGGTTTACAAAGCAGAGGTGAGGCCTGCGATGCTCTACGGCAGCGAGTGCTGGTCAGAAAACAAGAACGCAATTCAAGTTGCAGAGAAGAGATGGGAAGATGATCCTGAGGGATGCAGTTGGATTGGTGTAAAAACGAGGACGCCAGGGCAGTCATGCAAACAGCTCTTATTCAGCTGAATATGAAACAACGGCGCTTGCTACGGCATGGGCATGTACTGAGAAGAAAACAAGAGCCACTCAGAGGAGCAGTGCAATTTGATGCATAAGGGAACAATCACGAGGAGCCCCGAAGACGAGGTGGCGAGCGGAGAAGGACCGCTCCAGCTGAGGTAACGGCAGAGGACGCCGCAGATGGAAGCAATTGGCCACAACTAACAAAACAGCGGGCCCTGTAACAGCTCAGCATTTTAATGATCCCCTTCATGGTAACACTAAGAATCGTTTTTCGAATTTGTTCGACACTACTAGATGTTCCACGCTCTGGGGTGAACTTTCGAATTGGATCAGTAGTTGGCACTCAGAGCTTGCGAACTTCAATTTAGCTGAGTACAACTCATACCTCATTGAAGTCACAGGTGCTCGTCTTGCCGCTCAATTCACATAACCTTCTCTTCAATTCCGGCGGAATATATGCTCGGCGTTCTTGAGATGAGAAAGTGAGAACCTGTAAATAATCTGGAACTTTACTATTACCATTGTTCTCTCAAAAATTGTGTATATCGTAGATAGTTTGCTATGTTGGTACAGCTGAGTTCCAGCATGAAACGACGAAACGACAAGACCTTTGCACTGTATTTCGAATCTGTCTGAACTGATTGCCACTGTACGAACGGTTACGAGACTTTGGGTCTCGTAATGGACTTATAAGTCTTTGATAATGATGGGCACATAGCGCTGTGTGTGAAAGAAATATATATTGCTTCATTTGCCATAGATAAAAAATTACCCATGTTACGTATACTTTGTAAGTACTCGTCTTCCAATAGGTCTGAACGATGGGATGGTGCAAAACGTATCTTATATTGAAATGGCAAATGTAAAAGTCATATCGTTGAAAACTTTTGAAAAAAAGTGAAAAAAATCAATCTTGAAAGAAGTTCGTCTCATTGTCGG